TTACCGCGTTAATATTGCAAGGTCTGTTTTTGAATGGGTTCATGAAAGCCACTAGTTTTCCATGAGTTAGTTGCGAAAGTTTGTTTACACACATAAATATGCGTGCATTCTTTAAGACTATCGATGCACCTTTTCTGTAAATTATCTTTATTTGTCCGATAAACCTGAAGTTTGCTACTGAACTAATGGAGATTGGGACAGTGACCTCGTGGTCATACACGAATATTGAAATAGGGTTGGGAATTATGTCTAAGAATTGGAGTTACTGTTTTTCTAAGTTATGCTAACTTTAATGTTAAAGTTCGTGAGTTCACATGCTAACTCTTAGTCCTGTCATAATATATCGTTCACATGAAACTTCTACCCCCTGGTTGGTTATGAAGAGTTAAGGACCCTCTGCTTCTCAGCAAAACACTAGTGTATTGGTTGCGAAGATTGTTGATTTTTAATGAGATCAGAAACTGATCTAAGCTAAGCAACTTTTAAAATCAGATGTGGAGATAAGGGCGAGGATTGATAGAACATATGGAATTCAAAACAGCCGTCAACCAACATGAAAGTCAGAATCTTCAATACGCACGTCAAGACAGTTCTACTGTACTAAGCTGAGGCGCAAAGAACTTAATATCTAAATATCTGTCTACACAAGATATTCCATATTCGTGGCCGACTACCATCAGAAACAGCCTACTGTGGGAGAGAATAAGCCAGCTTCCGTCTGGAGAAGAAATTAAGAAAAGACTTTGGGAGTGGATAGGACACATACTGAGGAAATCATCAAACTGCATCACGAAGCAAGCGCTAACTTGTAATCCTGAAGAGAAACGGAAAAGAGGAGGACCAAATAACACACTGCGTCAAGAATCGGAGACAGACATGAAAAGAATGGATAGCGACTGGAAAGAACAGAAAGGAATTACCCAGGACAGAGTTCGATGGAGAATGCCGGTGGTCGGCCTATGCCCCTCGACTAGGGGTAACAGGTGTAGGTAAGCAAAGTAAACAAACTGATTATATTTTACTGAATACACATGCAAAAGGAATCACATTTCGTACTCTCTCAATTCGCTGCAACATAAATAAGTCTTTTGTGTACCCGATGCATACATTTAAATACGGTTTCTCCCAACCATAATGTGGTCAATCATACATTATTATATTTGTATAAAACATTATGGAATATCGTTTCTTTGTACACCTATTTTCGGACCTACTAGGCACTCACCCACTGAGTACTTGCTAGTAGGTCGTACATAACTCATATGTTAACGTAGTTTGGATGGCCGAATTTAAATCGATCGATACACCCCATCCATATACGAATCAAATGGATGTTTATTGAAAACTATCATCCCATTCTTCTTTCTCGCCTCTGGTTGTCTAAATTTAATATATTCGCACACGAGTGTTTTCCGAACCTACGATTTCCAAATCATTTTAAACCAATCTTGACATTCACACTATTATTAAGTAATTCTAGCCAATCCATCTGAGGCTAAATACGAACGTATTTCATGTAAAATATTTATTCCCTGAACTTTGGTTAGCAATTCTAGCAATCGTCTGTCCGTACATGTCATTCAATAAGCTGTCCTTCTCAATAATCATCGTTTCCTTTAATTATTATAAACAATATGCCCGAATCGATCGAGTCAGTATATACGATGGTATCACTTTCACGTATGGTCATAAGGATTAAGCAGTTAAAACTGTTTCCACTCGACCGAAATCAACTGGTGTTTTCATTCAACCTGCCTTACGGTATAATAATCACGTATTCGTATGTCACGACTCACTTGGACGATCTCTCGAAACAGCATTCGAAGGACTCTCCAAAGTCCTTCAGGGTGAACTTAAGTATTATATCGTCGATATGAACGGAATTAAAATCGCATTCTTAGAGGACACCCTAAAAATTTTGACTTTCCCATATTGCAATCGAAAGACATAGGCCCCACAATTACTACATTTCACCCTATCATAAACCGTGGTGACGAAATTTGGTAGCATCTGACAGCCAGCCTGAAACAGCGCATTCTAAAAGGAGGGTAAGTGTTCTAAAGCGTCTAAACGATTACTACACATAAGACACTATATAACGCATTGTTTCGTCTCGATTTTTGCTTTAATTATGTCAAAAAAGACGAAAACAAGCCTCTTTTATATACCGATTTATATTTATTTTTTTACTCAAAGAGAAAAAGATATTTCTTGACTACCAATATGCATATATGTATGAAATTTTTTCGAAAAAATATAACAAATATTCATTGTGCGAAAACCACTCCCACGCCATTGCATGTATACAAACGTATGTATGTATGTTTACTTTCCTTTTTTCCACCCGTTTTGTGTCCTTACGCATGTACGAATGTAGTTCGACACGCATCTACACATTGTATTTTTCCTTTTTCAGGACGGCTGGAAAGGATGAAAAATCGACGGAGATTACGAAAAATCGAAATACATTAGCCTGTATAGTAAGGAAAGACAAACCGACGCTGCTGAACATAACAAGCTATCAGAAGAATATTTTACAAAGAAAAACTCGTTGAGTTTAAAATTCTGACTGGTCACGTGCTAAGTCATCACTACCTCACTAAGTAGAAAGTGAGATGTAGTAGCAAATAGATCCCTCAAAGCAGTGGTTCTGTACGTTTTCGACATTTGATGCCAACAACATTAATCTCAATGGACTTGTAGTGGCATTGTACCATAACCACACAATCCTGAAAGCTGAGCACGAGACAACTCGGAAAAAATTGATTATTTAACGCGGTGAAACACTTAACGATGGAGAAGGCGGGAACAAGGAGTTGAATTCATTGGAGTTAATCGGATGGCATGGCTCGGCCTTGTCTAAGCTTATTCTACATCATGTATTGGTGATTATTATAATACGATGAGTAGGTGTAGACGATGGTATGACTTCTACGTAAAATCTTATAGATTAGGCAGTTATATCGTGACAAGTCTACAATTTTAGGATTAGGTCTATTGTTAGTACAGTACTAATATCATAGTAGACCATAATGCTACAGACTAACTTAGCTGAAGACGCTCGACCACGCATCCGCACCAGATCACGAGTGGATAAACCATGCTACATATCCCTTTCAACTATTGGTCAGCCTAGACAAAATATTCCTCGACGTAACGACGACCTTCTAAATATCCTCGAACTCCTTCATTTTTGGTTTCTAATTTGAGCGAGTTGGGACAATTCGATCAAAGACGTGTTCCTGGTTAAGCTGTTGTCAAACTCCGAATACTTGTAGCATCCTTACGTTCACAAAAATTTGAAATCACTGACGAATCACAGCGTCCGGACGAATAAAGAAGCTTCTGCATAATGTCCTTACTAAATTGGAAATGAAACATCATTTCCTTGCAATGTCATTCATAGTTGATACAATATCGTATTTTATTACGGTTGTGAACAGATCTCTTATCCAATCAGGGGGTTAGTCACATCGAGAAATTCAGTGCACAAGTAGAGTATCTGGAAATAGTCGATTACGTCTGAGAGTTCGCTGACGGAACTTTGATGATCTCATAGTCATCCTGATTTCCTAGATTACGTAACAGCAAACAACTACATTATCAAATGGTTCAAATGTTCAAATAGTTGTGGACGGAATAGAAGAAGCCTTCGCTTAACAGGCTTCCGTGTCTAGTAGCAGGGGATCACTAAATCCTCCAGGCAGGAACCTAGGTATGTTAACAATAAAAGAGGAGAAAGAAATTGGTAAATCATACTATGATGCTGTCCCTGGTACTTATGAATAGGTCAAGTTGCCTCTTAAATGACTCCTGGGAAGTCACTTGGACTAGCTCGGCTGGCAGCGAATTCCAGCATTTGACAACTCTTAAGGAATAGAAGTTGTGTCTACAGTCCGTTCTGCTATGTTGTGTCTTCAGTTTTTGGGTGTTACCTCTTAGGTTAGTGTTAGAACTAAGCTTAAGTAGGTGTTTGAGAGAATGTCGAGAAGTGTTAAGGATTCTATAAACCATCAGGAGGTCACCTCTAAGACGTCTATACTCTAATGGGTAAAGGTTAAGTGAATGGAGGCGCTCTTCGTAAGGTTTAAATTTGAGTCCTCAAACTGATTTCGTGGCTCGCCGTTGGATACGCTCCAGGGTGTCCTTATCCTTTTGGAGTGAGGGGGGAAATACTATGTTTCCGTACTCTAAATGGGGGCGGATAAAACTATTGAAGATTATATGGAAAGTTCTTCTGTCAAACTGGCCAAAAATGCGCTTCAATGTTACCAGTGCAAGGTTTGCTCGGAAGGCATTTTTGTCACAGTTAGCGTACGACTTTAAATCATAGGGCACCAGGACTCCTAAATCTTTTTCGACTTGGGATACTACTAGAGAGGAGGTACCTACGTTATAACTGTAGTCTGCGACATGTCGCAGAGAGACTACTTTACACTTTGAAGTGTTAAAGGTAAGTTCGTTATCGTCTGTCCAACTTTGAAGTCGAGTCAGATCCTCCTGGAGTGCCTGTATGTCGTCTTGGTTGCGTGTCTCTCTCCAAAGTTTCACGTCATCGGCAAAAAGTAATAAGTCTGACGTTACCTGTTGGGGAAGATCATTTATGTAGATCAAGAAGAGAAGAGGTCCTAGTACTGAGCCCTGGGAGACCCCATTAGGACATTCCATAGCCTGAGATAAGGTGAAATTAACCCTTACCTTAAAGTGTCGATTTTTCAGGTGTGAAGTAAGCCAGTCGATTAGAGGTAGTCGGACACCTAGTCGTTTGAGCTTATTAATAAGACATAAATAGTTAACCTTATCAAAAGCTTTTGGAAAATTTAGGTAGATAATGTCAATCTTTCATTTGCGATCGAGGATGCTTGTCCGTCTGTCCACCGCAATCAGCATGTTGGTTATACAAGAGTAGCCCTTCCTAAAACCATGCTGTTGGAGTGAGAAGTACATTATACTCAAAATGTCAATCTTATAATAATACACTGACCTAATGCTATTGGTTTGTCAAAGTTCTCGGGTTGTTAAAAAACTGTACATTGTCTTGCAAACGTCTTTGTTTTACTGAACTAAGAAGTCATACTGTCAGACGAGAGATCTGTTTCAAGTAGTAAAATATGGCTGACGCAGGCAAAGTGTTAGAGGATATCGACGGTTTTGACAAACAGAAATTACGGCATGTTGAGACTGAAGAGAAAGTCGTATTGCCAAACAAAGAAGGTAAGAGGCAAAAGTTCTCGTTTTTGTTTTCGTACTATTTGCTTATGTAGTTTTGCCTGCTGTTTGGCACCCCCTATAAGGGGGTGATAGTATAATATCACTTAAACCAATTGATGAGCAACGGAAGATATCCTTTTAATCACATTACAGTGTACTTTTGTTTTTGAGTATTGGTTCAACTATTCCAAAACACCCCAACACTGTGTGTCAGTAATTATAATTAAATTGAGCCTAGCTGCTATTGAGTTGGATTGTCCCATTCTGTTGTTGCTCATTCTCATGATTTGGGGATAGTCTTACCAAATTTTGTATCAACTGAACAGACTGCCGCCTTGGCTTGTAGTCTTTCTGTTGTCATTGTTTCTATGAGTTTCCTCAAATTCTGATTGGTAAATGTTGTCTCGGTATCGGTAAGCTTTAAAATCCTAATCTATCAGATTGTTCTGAATTGGCCAGTAAGTACAAACCGTGTTGACTTGAGGCAAGTACGGATTAGCATTTTTGTTGATCAATCGCCCAACCTCATTATAGATATCAAGGCGTACTGCTGATTGCAGTAGGCTACGCAGAAATATGGTCAAGGGAGTGCGATTGACAACTTAAAAAGCCATCTCAAGAATGTAAAGTGTAACGGGACTGTTGTGCTGTTTGTTTTAAACCTTCAGATGACGCTCCTGACCACACCTCAAAAATCCACAACTACCGAAGTGACCTTAGCGACAAATATTTCTCTCGTAGCATGTTCCCAAATGTAAACATTAGAAGAAATGAATACCCAAGCTCACGGGTTATTTAAGTACTTCACGAAACAGGATGTACTTGTCCATCGTACTCTGCTCTTGCTTGTCCTTCAACTACGACTAGTGCGAGCAACAAAACTTGCCATTGGGACGTTGTACCTTGATACACCAAGTTTTATCATTTGATAACGAAGCAATATAAGATTGGTAACCCAACTTCAGGTCGATGATTTTGTTTGTTTATCCTTTCTCTGCAGTTATTGAGAAGGAGAAAACTGAGAAACAGCTGCTACAAGAGATCGAAACACCACATCCTTTGAAACGTACTTCAACAAAAGAAAAGAACCCTCTTCCTACCAAGGAAGGTAAGACACTTCTATGAGACTTTCCTTAATGAAATTGTATTCTGACCACAAAGTTTTGTGTAACTTTTCACTAAAACTTTCGTTCTTCATTTTAGACATTGCTGCGGAAAAAGCTATCCACTGATCACTCATAAATGTTCATTTCGCTCGTGTAATCTGCGCCTTTCCCTAATCAGAACGTTTTTATTCCTTTCAGCTTTTTTATTCGAAGCTTTGTGCATTCTTATATTAATTGCTGTAATACTATAAATTTCTATACTAAAAGATCTGTCGTTTTGTTGAAAATGTACTTGGCAATTTCTACGGTTCACAACAAACGGTTTAGTATTTCTTATCTTGTTTATAGACTTAGGACTTGTCATTACAGACATCTGATCCCTATATAGGCAATGTCAACCTTTAAATTAACAATTTCGTTTCATTTCGTGGCATTTTTACACCCGTTTGTACCAGCATAAGTTAACTGGTGTTGTGTATTCTATGTGGATTTCTGGGTGATTGCCTAACTTCATTCTAATTGGATTAATTAGTTTTCACTAATGATTTTGTTACACTTGCTAATCTTTGTTGATCGTATTTGGACTGTTTTAAGGGTTGTGTTTACCTTCGTGATCATTGGTAAGTCTAGTACAATCTCGGCTTTCCTTAAGTGTACGTTTACGATTTACTATACGTTTTATGATTGACGTGGTAGGTTCTCTATGGGGAGATTTAAATGCGTTATAAGACCATTGGGATGTCTAGTTTTGTCAGTCATCTCGCAGTTTTATGCACTTAGGAAAATAGCATGCCATAGTGCGTCGTTAATGCACCTCTAACACTCGTGTTGCATTTTGGCTGGTACCTATATTCGCAAAACAATCCAAACAGTGATAGACTTAGATTTGTGTAGCAGTCGGGCTTGTCGTGTGGGAAACATGTTTCGGGGTGGCTTGTAATCATACTTGTAGCGAAGTCCAACAAAACTAGGTTTGTATGCGAATTTGGAAAGTTAGCACTTCAACAGCTATCGGTACGAAAAAACTATTGGGACCTGTCTTTTCTCGTCTGTCATCCCAAGTAGCTGGCATATTGCACTGGTTAGCTGAGGTCCTTGAATGTTTCATCAGTTGACATGGCGTCCCGGTATTGTGAAAAGTCCGTAAATGTAGATATGGTGTGTAGGTCTCTTTGTTTAGTGGAAATATCGTCACCGTTTCTGGGGTCTTCCAGGCCGAGCAAATATCAACGTCACGATCTGCTAGTGTCTGTGGTTTTAATGGTTTCCTATGTAGAAATTGTAGAGCAATGGAGTGACGTACTCATGGTTTGGAAGGATGTTGTCAACATTTCAAAATTGTTTACAAGGAGACTGACTGACTAGGTCTAGACACCCTTGTGTTTGGCTCCGTGGTCACTCGCTCAGAGTTGTGGAATAGCTTGCTTCGTGGGCTCTTTGCTACGGCGTGGTCAGTGTCAGCGCCCACACTGGCAACACTAGTTTCCCTGCCGAACATCAGGATCAGTTTTTCTGGGGATGTTACCAGCTCTCATTGACCGCTTTGGTCTACTTACGCAACCAGCTTCAACGATTTGAACTTGAGAAGCGTTATTCTTTTATCTCCTGAAGCAACCCTCCGGACTTCATATTGATGCTCTAGACATTTAAGACTTGTACCAAGTCAGACGATAAGCCTCTGTAGAATACTATGCTGAACTCATCCCTCACTCTTGGGACCGGCGTAGTGTTATCATATCTTGAGTTTGGGAGCTGGAGGTAATCTCCGAATGTTCTCGATCGCTGGTTGTCCCAGTTCATAAGGGAAGACGGAAATCCTGATGTGGTGACCAAAGGGGGGTCAGTATGTTGGGTGTAATGTCTTAAGGGTTAGTATTGATAATCATCCGACGCCTAACTAAGGTTCGTAAAAAGCAAACCTGAGAAAACCGGACTGATTTGATACTTGGATGTGGGTGTGTAGACCTGATGCACACCCTTTCTCAGGTTTTGGGTAGATATGCGTATCGTTTATCAAACAAAATTGTATTTATCAGTATGTGGTTGTAGAGATTGTTGAGTTTTCAGTTGAGGTCATTGGTTGATCGGTGTTTTATTATTACCATTAATACATTCAGATGTCTATGTAGTTTTACAAAAGGTAAGAATATTTCAGTTGGTAAGACATAATGGTTACAGTCCTATGATAGGTCAAACTTCTACAATATGTCCCTAATGAATGGAACATTTTTAGCAATTAGATCTGTGGTTTAAGAACCGTGATACTCACAAAAGTTATTTAAATCTCTAGTTGGACTACTGACAGAACCATTTCCTTACTGTTTGTATGACAGGTCCTATGATTAGTCCAAATATAAACTCTTTCATTGTCTTTCTTATGATATATTTGTACACCTGACCAATTAGTTGGGAACATGCTCTACGATGTCCATGAAATGTGGTCATTTCACTTTTGTTTACTGGGAGAAGTATTCGTCTTTGGTGACTATTTGTGATCTGCGTTAACACCTGAACTAAGGATAGGGAGTGAAGTAGTTGAACGCGTTGACAACTTCACATATCTTGGAAGTCTGATCAGCCCTAATGGGTTGGTATCGGACGAAATCTCAGCACGGACTCGAAAAGCTCGTTTGGCTTTTGCCAACTTACGTCACCTTTGGCGAAGGCGAGATATCCGTCTATCAATAAAAGGACGAGTATACTGCGCGGCAGTCCGTTCTGTTTTAATTTACGGCTGCGAAACATGGCCATTAAGAGTAGAAGACACTCGTAAGCTATTAGTATTTGACCACAGATGCCTTAGAAATATTGCTGGCGTCTGCTGGGATCACCGGGTAAGTAATAGTGAGGTTAGACGCAGGGTATTAGGGAATGATGGTAAATCAGTTGATGAGGTTATGAATCTTCACCGACTGAGATGGTTGGGCCACGTGTTACGTATGCCTGAACACCGATCACCACGACGTGCAATGCTATCCGGTATTGGAGATGGTTGGAAGAAAGTTAGGGGCGGCCAAACCAAAACGTGGCATCAGTGCTTGAAGTCACTAACTTGTAGTCTGAGCCATGTTGGTAGATGCAGACTACTTGGTTGGGGTCCGCGTGACTAACGTAACCAATGGTTGGAGACTCTTGGTGACATGGCTCAGAATCGATCACAATGGCGTCGGTGTATACACTCCATGTCTTCCCTTAAACTAAGAGATTAAAATCGCTTCATATCTTTCATTCTACGAACTAATTCTTTCTTCTTGTACTATATCTCTATATGCAATCTTTCTCTTATATATTACCACCTTTGACATAACCACTGCTATGAATCCGGTGTTCATCTTGTTGTGCTGATGCGGTATGGCAACCTGGACCGATGCACATATGTGCCTGGTCCTACGTTGTAGCTGACTACTGACTGACTGACTATTTGTGATATGGTATCTAAGGCAGGAATTAAGGTTTTTTCATCCTTCGACTGCTGACTTAAATTAGGTTGAAATCACACTTAATTTGATAGATGCCGTTTATTGAATAAACAATAAAGCACAAATGGTTAATCATATTTAACGTTAATAAGGAATAAAAGAAACATGAACAATGAAGCGTATATAAAAGTACATTTATATTTGCACACTAATTCTGTGATATCGTAGTACAGAAATGATCAAATGATAAGTTCTGGATCCTAACCATCTCATGGAACAGTTCGAAACAGTTTCTCAAGAATAGTCCTAAGAAAATCTTAAAACGCTTGTTGAAGAAATTGATACTTCAGTAATTGCTAATACTCGAATGGGACCGGATGTTTTCCTTGTTCCTACTGAACTCTATAGTAGCTACTATTAGACTAGAATGACTAATGGAAATTAGCTTCTCCATTCTCCTAACAGGTACAAAACAACTTGCTACAATGACCTCAGAAATTTATTCTGAATAATTCTTCTTAGATTAGTTTAGTGAGGACTTCACTTACGTTTTCAAAGGAATATCATGAGAACGTGAAATAGACAAAGCGTTGAATACTGACTTCCAAACAATGAACATAAGTCCCGATATCAATGGTATTTTGGAATTATTGAGTTAGATCCTAATGGTTTGTATTTTCAACTTTAGTTTACTTTTGATATGACAGTCTTTTATTAATGCTATCAACAAGTTATTTATTTGAACACATAAATATTGGTACAAGGGGGTACCAAATATATATGCACCACACAAACAATCAGAATGGGAAGAGCGAAAAAGAAGGTAAGTAGCGTAAAACAAAAAGAAAGAACAATGACGACCAAATTAGTGTGAGTTAGTGTAGTAATAATAATGTGGGGAACGGAAAGGTACAACCAGAAAGAATTCTTTCAGTTAAGGGAGTTACAACCACTTTATATGAAGAAAGTAAAAGAAGGTTGCAGCAGGACCACTACTGACCTCTATTCTGAGCCATATCTGATTACGTCTCTAGCCACTGTGTCGAACCATCTCTCGGACCCCAGCCAGGGAGGCGTGAAGGACCAACACAAGCCAGTCCTTTGCAGCTTTCTTTCATACCACGACACCATGTCATACACTGACCACCTCTCCGCCTTTTCCAACCAGTCCCAGCGTCGGCAAATAATGCACGACGTGGAATTCTCTAGGACGACATTCGTAGAACATGTCCAAGCCACCGAAGTCGATGTTTCAAGATGGTGAAACCGATTGGGTTATCATCTCTGTGCCCGAACACACGATGCCGAACCTCTGCATTACTAACATGGTGTTGCCACTGGATGTCAGCAATCTTTTCGGAGACAACAATGATCAAACACAGAGTCGTCTAACATCCTCAACTCGGAGAGGCGAGGTTTCACAAGTAGAGATCAAAACTGCTCTTACCGACGCGTTGTAGATCCGACCTTTTACAGTCAGAATGACATCACGAAAGCGCCAAAGATTGGCATAAGCCGCTCTGGCTTTCACTGTACGAGCATTGATCTCATCACTCACACCCCCACCAGCACTTATGCAGTTACCTAGATACACGAACTCCTCGAATACTTCTATCCGCTCACCATCCAGGGTGAGTACAGGATTGGAATCCTGCCAGTCTTGTAGAAGTACTTTGCACTCCGAAGGTGCAAAGCACATACCGCGGATTGCATGGCTTGGGCATTATCGCACAGTAAGAGAATATGATCCGCATACCCAAGGTCGAAAAGATTACAGGTACACCTTGCTGACGAGTGCCAAGTAGCACGAAACCAGGGTTTCCTGTTGACTACCTCCAACCACCATCTAATCTCAATACATAGTACCCGCAGTGTCGAGTCACCTAGACTGGTGGCCACATTGCAACTGATCGATAGCATTCGATCTGCACTAATAAGGAGTAGACACGCATGACATTGATCGCCACCCAGTGATCAATCAATTGTGAAACTCTGTTTCACACAACTGACTTGACAATCATGTAATAACTATAAATTAGGGAAGTGATGATAATTTCTTTTTTAATGAACTCATATGTTAGGAATGTATTATCCAAGTAAAATTTATTAAAGAAAAATCTATGTAAAAAAGTGAAGCAAAATCATTACCTTCATTACTGAAAAGGTACTTCTGTTCTTTCGTAAGTTTTCAGTACTTTATGGTCTAGTTATTTGTTGGAATTCATAAGCAACATGTGTTTTCATGAAAAACACAATTTTATTAAAAGTGAACTACAATTTACACGTATAGTGCTAATAAAAGTTAACTATCTTAATTTTCTAGAGTAACGATAGCTTTACTATATAGTGATTGATATGACTTTTTTTAGGCAAAACGGGTAATAGATTTCATGGTTTTCAAATAGAATCTAACTAGACGGGATGTTAGAAGCTAATCATAGGCCGGATCTCTAGCACAAATATATATATAGTTTTACTTATCAGTTCACCTTATTTCAACTAAAAATCTTTAAATCACAGTCAGCTATCCTCATTTCATTCAATTTTTTATTGTATAAACCACATGAGTGTATGAAAATATAGAATTTGGAAAAAAAGTAGGTGATTATACTGAAGAAATGTATGGAAAATTATTCCTCTGATAAAGTATTCGACTTGTTAAATATATCTATTCACTTTCTATTCTGATTAATTGTTAGAGAGCCGACATCAAATGTTTTGCGATTGGACTGTAATGCAAAGGAGTTATGAGAATGAAAATTTAAGTTCTTTCACTTTATTTACTAATAACACAGTTTTTCGACATAATTATCAACCTTCTTATCCCTTAGAAATCATTTAGTTTAATTTTAATGGTATGAACTTTATTTGTCTAGGAGACAACGACTACTTGATTCAAATATGCATACTCTGGGATGTTTGTATGTGTGTATATGTTGATCAGATACTGTTAAAATAATTTAAAGAACTCCTACTTCCATAATTACACATTAGAATTTCATTAAAAAAATATGCAACTTAACATGAATTTTTTTATTGTTCTAATTCAATATTAAGATACTTGATCTTTTTGTTTTAAATTGTTAAGATATGACCTAAACGTTACATGGACCAAAGAAATTAATTCTAAGAATTCCCTCCAGTTTTGTTGAACATAATATGTGATATTCTGTTCTTTTTTGTTTGAAACTTTTTAAATTTGAACAACTTGAATAAATACCGATTGCCACCAGTAGAAAATCTCGATCGATTCACTTTGAATAAAGTTAACAAACCAGTTAGTTTATAGTATAACAAATTATACAAGTATTTACTTTTTGTTCAATGTACAATTTGTTCTATTTTAATGTGAAATAATTTATTCATATCAAAATAATAGTAACAATTACATGTGATTTTTGTTTGTTTTTTCTTACATAACAAAACTATGTAAATTTGATACATATCAATGCATACTTACTATCAGTATAATTTGTTAACGTAAAAAAGTACCTTTAAAATTATTCTATTTTAGTTAAGAATATAAACGTATATTTGTTTATTTAAGATGTAATTTATGCAGTTTTGTTTCAGTGTGTGTATATGAGAATATTTTTGATGAAATAAATAAATGATACTTGGGGTGAATACTCCATGTGATTTAGATTTGTACTTTCCTTATTATTATTATTAATTTTATTTTTATTATCAGTATCAGAAGAGGTTTTGTGGATATTATAATAATTTTAATAGTTGAGATCATGGGCCAATAGAAGCGAGACCAACATGGGAAACCCGGAAGTACTAGATGGCTGTTTCGTTCTATTGTGAGGCTCCTCAATAATGCGCATCCACGATCCCGTCTCACGAGATTCAAACCCAGGACCTATTAGTCTTGCGCGCGAACACTTAACCTCTATACCACTGAGCTGACATCCAACGGTGTTAATGTCCAGCTTTAACTAATCCATTAACTTGAGCTACCATCCATCATTGTCTTCAATGAATTACAATCTCACAACAGACCCAGTTGAACTCCACTGGTCACTGCTTCTCACTGTTGAGGAGTCTCACAATAAGACGAAACAGCCGTCCAGTGCTTCCATGTTGGTCTAGTTTAAATTGACTCATAATCTCAACTATTAAAATTTATTATTATTGCTGCTAAAATTTTTATATTTTGTTAATTGTGTAGTTTTTTCTATATATTTTATGGTATAAAATAATGTTACAATATAATATTAAACTTACACTAATCACTTCATATCAATCATGTAAACAAAGTGTAAAGATTATTTCTTTTTTTAATTTTTCAATACATAGTTCATTTAAAAATAAGTTTTAAAGGAAACATTCACCATAGCGGATATTATTTGTACTAAATTCTCAACGATGTGCTGATTGAATTACTGATTTAGTTTTCCTTCCTTGAATGGAATAGTGTTAGTATGCTAATCAAGATAATCGCAGAAAATTTAGCTGTAATTTACTTTTCTAACCCTTGGGAAAATAGATAATAATAATAATTTTTTATATAAAAAGACTTCTACCAGACAATATCTGTAAGTTCGCAAATGTAACTGGTAATGCGAAATTTTTGTTGATGTTTCAATAAGAGATATAGTTGATTTTTATTTCAAATATCTTTTCCGTTGTCGATTGATATCATTCAAAGTGTCATTAAAATCTCAATAGAACTTTTCAACTGTTTCGGTTTATTAATGATTATTGGACCAGGTAAATTAAAGTTTCATGGTGAGCAATCAACCTTTATACTACTGAGTCAGAATCCAGTGATTTACATTTTTGGGTTCGTTCAGTATATCTTGGCGGAAAAAATTATTTAAATATAGAGTTATTTCAAAACTGAATTGGCTCGATTGGTTCAATCTTAATCAGTCAGACTATAAAGTGGGATCAAATTAGAAAGAAAACACTTTTCTTTTAGATTCAAAGTAGCCCTTGATAGTGGGTGTCAACTAGTACAAACCCAATTTAAAAGGTTTCCTGATGACTACTTCCAACCACTAAATATTTGAAGTGACTTTTAATGAAAAAAATAATTTCTGTTATATTTTGAACTTTAGATAGATAAGTAGATTGTTGTTATAAAGTGTTTGTTCATGTAAATCCAAATAAACCATCGATACTAGACAAATGAATATTCATTGTTAGTTTAGGATAATTCGATAAACCCAATTTTCGTTATGTTCAACATATAAACTGTAATAACACACATTAATTTTGAAAGTGAACTTTAAAACTGATTGTGAGTATGAATATAGTTTTTTTAATTATGAGGATAAAATGTTTGGGTATTCTGATTGTTGGGTTCTTTAGAATAGGATAATATTACAAGTAATTTAAACAGAAAGCTGACAACAGTTGTGAAGCTACTGAAAATTAACAAAGATTGAACAGTTGATTATGTTGTTATAATTTTCTACACTATTGAACCAAAACCAAATTAAACTAATTATTTGATTTTGATTTTTGTAAGTAAATAATTCATCAACATTTACTATCGGTTCGTGGTGAAAACTACTTCTAAATAAAACAAAGTTTCTAAAAATTAATCACCGTGAAACCTGGAGATTTCGATATCATACCTGTACAATTTCGTAGGTGTACATTCCTGAGGGATTTCATACAAAGAGGAAAGGACTAACCAGTGTTTCTTGGTCCCTAATTATTCTTTACATGATTTTAAATTGTCATATAAAAAGCCTTCAAATTTAACTGATCTCTGCAAAGCACTTTACTAAATACTCACTTCTGAGTCCTTAATGAAATTGATCTTTAAAAAATTACTTACCATATTGTTGTGTTCGGTGTATCGCCCTTATTGATTCTGCGGCCTTACTGCTCTTACTTGACAATCGAGAATATCTGAAATTGCTCGATCATATTGCTCATATTTGGAAACGGGAATCACTTCAATATCTATGACTTGATGTACGAACTCAAAAGACTTATGCAATGAAAACTTATTGACTCTCTAAAAATATGTCATCAAACAAGTCCCCAAATTATGTCATCATCAGACCAAATTACAGTCATTTATATTCTAATTTTGTTGTTGTGGAGGTCCTCACGATATAATCAACCGGAAGGAAAAAAAGATGAGAGTATACAGTCTCGACCGATAACAGTTTCCATTTGGAACGCATCTGTGAGCTCCTCTTTATGCTCGACTTCGCAATCCAGCCTCGTAGGAGCTCCGTGTGATGGTAAGGACCCTCTCAGGTGCTGCATAGTATCAACAAAGATTCCTCAATATTTCCTTATTCATACTGTCAAACGCTTCCTCATAGCCAAGAAGGTTGATGTATGGTAATTATTCCCATTTTATTGATCGTTTAACACTGATCCCAAGTGTCACGATTTTTTCGACAGCGTGATCTATCCTTACAACGTCTGGTTTATTAGTCTCGAAGTTGAGCGTCTACTGAGTCTTTCAATTGGTTCAGCAACATTATTGAAAACTTTGCCTGGTAATAATAGTTGTATGATGCCTCTATAGTTCCCACGATTGCTGAGTTCTCCTTTCTTTTGTATCCCAATGAATTATCCCTATTTCCAGTTTGGTGGTGTCCCTTCCAGCCATATAGGTTGGTGAAGCCGACTGACTCATTTGGACACTCACTGACGACACAGCACAATTATCGAGGCTCAGTAGCTGTTTTTGTCTTGATTTTGCCTTTTCTTATTTCGCATCCAGTGATTGGAGACCATTTATAAGCCTCATAGCAATGATTAATTATATTTTTCTATGTTAGTAATTTATTTGTACATAAATAAGAGCGGAAGTATATTTATGACTGAGGAAACAGAATTTGAGGTAAGTTGAACTGGAAACTGAGTTATAACTAGAACTAGACAGTTATGTTGAAACTGAACTTGTAAATTGACTCCGTCAGCGATTGTTATGGTTTCCTTTCTTCCAAAATTCCCGTCGCCAAATTATTATAACTGTGTCGCCAATTGTTATGTCTCTTCATTGTTAATTGTTATGTCAATAATGCTTATCATTTATACATATAAAACGCGGAACCACTGCAATTTTCACGACGCGAAAATAAGAATACGGAATATTGGTACAAGTGAAGATTTAATAAACCCTTAAACACAACGACGCCCTAGTAGAAAATACGCTTATTTATATATTGATTTGTACATCTATTTTGATTATTAATTAGTATGAAATCACATATATGAAAAATATCCAGAATTATAACAAACCACATACTATGCATAGTTCATGTTAATTTAATACAAGAATATCGTGTTATGCAGAATAAATTGTCATACGGGAAAACAAAACCGAATGGTACACTGAGTGATTACCATACTGAATTGAAAACGGAAGTATTGCTGAACAAAAACCACAATGAATAAAAGAATCTAATTTTGACTTTTCATCCCGTCACATAAAGACATCTATTTAATTGATCATCTGCTCTATGTTTTTAGTGTTATTTTCCACGCTTGTCAAGTTTCCAGTATCTTCTGTTTGCGTATTTTCCCTCTTTTCCTGTTCAAATTCATTTATTTTTCTGTGAATGGCATGTCTTTATGTGCCTTATCAGCCATCCTTGTGTTTTATATTTTTTTAGACAGTCTTTTACTGAACATACATATATGTCTTTTTATGATTTCTATCTTTTTTGTCATGAATATTTCTGTAGCGACGAATCATCTTTCTACTGGTAGCAAACATTCTACTGTAGCTTTCATTTAGATATTTGAATATCAGCTCTCGTTTCCAATAATAGTGGGTTTATAATTATCAAATTTATCTAGTTTAACTTTGCTCGGGATGTCTAACCAGTTATTAGTTAGTTGTTTGTTAATTCATTGTATACTTGCATGTAGTTGTCTGATCCAACGTTTTGTATAGACTTTTTGTATTTTAAGTTTGCTTTTTGTTGTGCTGTTAACCATTTTGCACATGCTTTAATCCTTTCTTTGCTTTACTGTGTTCCATAAGTCCAGTCTATTTTGTTTAATTTTCTCATCTAATTTTAGTAGTTTAATGTTCTCTTTTAGTTTATCTACTGTCGTTTGCTTTTAATTATTGATTCCTAATTTCATCGTTCTCGTATTATTCAGAACTGTATCTAATTTCGTTTCATTTTCTTGTTGTTGTATTATTGTTTCTAGACTATATATTAAGACAGGTATCATTGTTGTCTCAATTAATCTTGTATTTGTTTTTATGCTGATATTATATGATCTTCGGATTGATCTTATTCTAGTTATTACATTTCATGCTTTCGCTACGGTGTGTTAAACGTCTTCGTAAAGGAGACCATCTTAACTTACAATTAATCTTATGTATAGGAAAGATTGTGTTATCTATCTTAACTTTGCTTTTACCTTTGTCCCCTGACATTGCTTTTGTTTTCTCACGAGATATTTTCATGTCAATCGATTGAAGATAATTGTGTATCCTGGTGGTACTCAATCGTCTTCCCAAAATCTTTCTGAATAGAATGTGGACGATCTG